GGGTGGAGTTTAGTCTGTCAATCAGGTCGCAGCTTGATGACCTCATTTGGAGGTGCTAAGGAAATTAATAGCTGCTGGAGGCAGGAGACAAGCTCACTCCCTGAGAGACATTGCAGGCTGACAAGACACATGGAGCTATGCTAGTGCCCAAAGACACATTTCTACCCTTTCCTATAAGGTCACTATGAGCCAGAATGGACTCAGTAGAAATGAGCTCATCTCTGGGCTTAGATAATGAAAATAAATAGGCTTGCTGGCTATCTTACAAAATGAAGCATGGCCTGAGACATTGTTGTCATGTACAGCTAGCATCCTTGTCCTTTGTATACACTGTGCCTTTTCTTCTTGTATTAAACACATGGCTGCCACACTGTTCCAAAGTGTTCTCTTGGGAGAACTACTGCACCCATCGAAAACCACTGGCTTAGGGTCTCAGAATTCAAATTATGCTTTCCTTCTGCCCATTCCTCAGAGGAATTCCAAGGGTCCATTTCTTGCATGCTTTCTCTCTCTCTCTTTTAACTTTTTAGGGTGAACTGGATGGTTTACTGAGAAGATCAATTTTTCATTCAACATTCCATCCTTATTTTGTTTCCTTGTACTCATTGAAATTCCCAGAATGCAACATCACTTGTCCCACGATGAGTTGGAACTGCCTAGATGGTACCTTACAACAGCCATACATCTTGGTTGGCGATTTTTTCCTTTCAGAGTTTTATATGTGCCATCCCCCATGGCTTTCTTGAGTGCCCTTTCTGCTGAAAACAAGCAGAGCTGAGTCATTTGGTTCTCCTTTGGAAATAACGTTTTGTTTTGTTTGTCCTGACCTGCTCTCAGGATTCTTTATTTGTCTTGGTTTTGGAGAGTTTGATTATACCATGTCTTGGAGATTTTCCTTTGGTTTCTATCTAGCTTGGGGGTTCTTTCAGCTTTTCAAATGTGTGTCTTCCTCATGATTTAGGGACGTTTTCTTCCAACAATTCGTTGATGATTTTCTCTGTGCTTTTTGCTCTTTCTTCCTATTCTGGAATTTTGGTCACACATAGTTATTCCTTTTCATATTGTCACACATCATTTTAGGATTTCTTCTTTTTGTTGTTGCTGTTCTTCTCCATTTGTCGATGTTCCTCTGGGATATTAGTATTGAGAGACTTATCCTCAAGTTTACTAATCCAGCCTCCCATTGAGTCTATTCTATTCCTTTGCCCTTTCTATGTATTATCTATTTCTGAAATATTAGTATTAATCTTCCAAGTTTTTGTTTAGTGTTTTTATATGGTTTCTAATTTATCATTTATTTAATCAGTTCTTCTGCTTTCCTCGATTCTTCTAAAGCTGTGTCTGTGTTTTCTTTGATTTTGTCTGCAGCTTAATTGGTCTGTATCTCAGTCCATTGAAGGTACCTAAATACCATTCTTTTGAATACTTTTTCAGGGATCTTCAATGCCCTGCTTTTCTCAAAAGTGGTTTCTGGTTCTGTATTTCGGTCACTTGTTTGAGCCACTGTGTTATGCTTCCTTTTGTGAACTGAAAGTCCTTGGTGTCTCTGAAGCTTTGTGTTGTTGAATTTATATTTAATTGGTGATTGTACATTGGTATATTCTTAGGGACTCACCACCTGTCTGCCGGTGGGTGTGATAGAGAAGGTGACTATATGCATAGTTCTCTATTTGCTATTCATGTAGCAAAGTTGAGGGCAAGTTTGGCTGTTATTGGCCACTCAATATCATGGATCAAGTGGTACAGGAGCAGGTACTGGCCCTTGCCCAGTGAATGAGGCTGTAGAAAATACAGCTGTGACTGGGCCATTTGGGTACAGCTTCTGTCACCTACTAGGCAGGACAATAAAAAGAAGAACAACAGCAAAAAAGAAAACATTAATGAGAAAAAAAACAAGTGAGGGAAAGCAAGTGTGTAACGGCAAAGAAATTAATAACTGAAATGAGAAGAAAATAATAACAAAGGAAGAGAACTAAAGAAAAAGCAAAACTAGAGGCAGGACACAGTAAAGAAAAAATACCAAGAAAAAAAGGATAAGGGGGGAAATGAGAAAACAATGGAAACAGAAACATGCTGAACAACAAGGCAAAGGAATGAAAGGAAAGAGAAAACTAGAGCAGGGATGGGACCCAGAAAGGAGATTAACTGTGGAGGCAGGCCTCTCAGTATGTGCCAGCACCCTGCCAGTCCAGGAGCTCACAGGGCAGGAGTGACAGTCATGAGGATGTCTATCCTAGTCAAAGTTCCTGCCAGCCTAGACAGTTCCTGGGGTCAGAGCACCTGAACCGGAAGTACTTTGTGCTGTCTCATAGGGTGGCTAACTTCTAGGTTCTTGATCCCAGAAGGAAGTCAGTCACTCATGCAACAAGGGAAGCTGGGAAGAAGTAAGCTGGCTACAAAGGGAGTTCTTGCCTGCTCAGGGATGACCAGGGACTGTTTTTTTCTGGTCTGATGGATGATGATGATGATGATGATGATGATGTAGGGCTGGTACACCAGGACCCTTCCCACAAGAGTTATGCTCTAACTGCAGGCACAACAAGGGCTATGCTTGGGAAAAGGGGTTACTAGGCATTGGGTGGGTGAAGGTGAGGTAACCAATTTTCTGGTTACCAGGAAGGTATAAGGAATAAGGGAGGAGAACACCTGTCTCCTCACCAGCCCCCACGGTGCCCCTATACTTCCAAGGTGCTTACTCCATTGAACGCTGCTTGCCAGTTAAGATGTGTATGCTGTCAGGTCAACTGACAATTTACCTGCACCCACCGTCTCCTTTCTCATTGTTTTTGTGGGACTTCCTCTCCCCCTTGGAATTAAATTCACTTCTCTATCCTTTTTCTCTGGGGTTCAGGGTTCCAGGATTATCATTCATATTGGTTTTGTTTGGTCGCTCAGGTCATTGTTGTAGAGTGCATAGTGTCTCTGTCTAGGCTACCCCTTTCCTCGAAATCCCCAAGGGGCTGTCTTCATACAGTGACCCTGCCTCTTCCTCTATGTTCTGCCTGCTCCTCCTTAGAGGCTCAGCTCAAACATCGTCTGCTCCATTAGGGCTTCTCCAAGAAGCCTGGTTGACACCACCTAGCCCTTCTCTCAGCAATGCTTGCATTGGGAGGCCCTCTTGAGTAGTTACATTCTTAATTATACAGAATTTCTCAAACTGTGGTTTGATTGACTCTTAAAACCTTGGGATCTGCCTTCTTAAAATATAGGTTCTAGTGCAACCCACTCAAAAGATAATCCAACAAGCCTGGCCAGTCATCTCCATGTATAAACATCAAAAGCAGTGTAAATCTACATTTTAACAAGCTCCCAGCAGGATTTTGACGTAAATTGAAATTTTAAGAATCATTGCTTTACTAGTTTTATCTTCCCCATTGGTTTGGAGACCCTTTTGATGCAGGAGTTTGGGGTGGGCAGCAGGAGTTTGAAAGCCAGTTCCATGCCAAGAATCGAATTGGAGAGTTCCGTTTTCAATGTCCAACTCTGGGAATTAACGGGACCCAGGAAAGGAGAGGACTTAGAGGGGGATTTTAGAATCCTGCATAATACTGATCACAAGCCTCCACTTTTTGATATATACAGTTAGCAAAGTCCTCTCGGTCTTATGTATAGTGTTTACATCTGGTGCTATACAAATGACTCTTTGAGACAAATCCACCCCCACCCCCAATAAGATGGCTGCTCCTAATTCCATTCTCTTCCTCTCAGTCTTATATATAGTGTTTATCTCTAGTGCTATACAAATGGTGCTTTGAGACCAAACCACCACCACCACTACCCATAAGATTGCTGCTACTAATTCCATTTCTATACCAAAATTCTAGAACAAAGACTGTCAGGGACACAGAGATTAATAAAACCGATTCCTGTTTTCAAGGAATTTCATGTCTAGTAGAGGAGAGAAACATTTAACAAGTAACTACTACCCAGTAATCAAAGCATGTAAGCAGTACAGAGGTACTGATGGTATCCAGGAACTTGATCATGGAATTGAGTTTAAAGAATGTCAAGGGAGCAATTCGTCCAGGCAGAGAAGAGTAAACCAAGCCATGGGAACTTGCTTGGAGATGTCCAACGATACCGTCAGGGCTTGCTGCAGAAGGAATGTAAGTATAGTGTTTGGGTAAGAGAGGGCTGGAAGCAGCACTTCTTTCCTGGCCATCAGTAGAGGAGGGCTGAAACTCAGATGAGGCAAACTTATGCAACTCTCTTGCTTTTACTCAGAAGATAGCTCATGATCCCATGGCTCCTGTCTCTTGCCTGTTCAAGCAAAGCAGCTTCTTAAAGTCCCCAGTGCTGCAGCCTGGAGTTCTGGTTCCCTTCTCCAGCCCTGTTCTGGGGCAGCAGTTTTCAAAGCATTTTGGCTGCAACCACCCAGTCAGAAATACATTTCATGTAGTGACCTAGTACAGATATACCCAAAAATAAACAACACCTTTATTACCACCTGCACTGCACTTTAATATTTTGGGGGCCTGTTTTATTAAAAAAAAAAAAAAACACCAATGGGCGAGACCCACTAAGTTGGATCAGACACCCTAGTGTATCACCACTTTTAGTTTGAGGATTCCCATGCTGTGACTGATTCCAAGCCAAGAAGCAGTGCTGTGCAGGGACTCCGAGGAGGGACTGGAAGCAGACCCCTGGGATGCCAATCTTTGTTATTTCACCTGTTGTCTGTGGGACTTTGGGCAAGTCACCCTTTTTAAACCCACAGTCCCTGATCTGCAATACGCAATCATAAGAGAACCTCCTTCACAGGGTCACTGTGAGAATTGGATGGGATAACACGCATACACGTATGCACACACCTAGACATTGTCCAGACCGCTGGTGAGCGCGGCCTAGGGCAGTGTTGGTAGGTGGGGCACTTTAGACCGTTGCATGGCAAAAGTAGAGGCACAAAGATGGTGTCTACCACGCGTGAGGTGGAAACCAAATGCCAAGCCCTCCCCATCACTCACCCGGGAGACCCGCTCAGGAAATAAAGAACTAGAGACTGAGAGGGAATGTTTCATTTGTCGTGATGATCAAAAATGGATGGATAAAACACATACACTCCGACCCTGTCCCACAACGTCTCATCCCACCTGCTCCAGGGTGCCCATGCCACCCACCCCTTTCCTGCTGGGCTTGTGCGTCCACTGTGGCACCCAGGACTGTGCACTGCACCCCGGCCTCGCACTGCCTCTGTTTTCACCTTCCCTCCACATAGCGCCTGGATGGTCAACACCCAGGCTAAGATGTGAAGAAAAGCGCCCAGAGTCCCCAGTGGGCCGTGTTGAAATGGCCAAGTTCTCCGTCTGTTTCCCAACCTCGCTCACCTCTCCCCTCTCCCGCCCCATCGCTGTTGCCCCGAAACACATAGGATGGCTTCACTGGTCAATTCTTCACATTCACAAACACCAAAAGCAGAGGAAACGACCCTGGGCCACCCTCCCCCTCCCCCCAAACCCCAGTGCTGGGAGAGCAGCCGCGGCGCAGGGCTGCCTCGGGGACCGCGGAGCTGCTGCAGCTGTCCGTCTGTCCTGGAAACTTCTTTGGCCTCTCAGCTTTACCTGGAGGCCTCCTCTTTCAGCTCCTTGTTTTTCCGCACCTCCTCCGCGTGCTTGTCCTGAGAAGAGACACAGGGGAGAGGTTGGGCTCAGCAGCCTGCCCAGGATAGAAGGCAGGAGAACCACAAGTAAAGGATGACCCGCTCTGGACTTGGCGGGTGTGTCTGCAAGGCCGCCTGAGAACGGGGAAGGTGTCGGCCGGACTCACTGGGGGCTGATGCAGGAGGCCGGCTGGAGCAGCTCCAGGGGGTCTTCATTGGTTGACTTGTGTCCAGCTTCCCCTCGGGGGACCCTCTCCTAGTCACCTCGTGGCCCATCAGCCTTTCCTTCCCTTTGGGGTTGGGGAGGCTGGTTGCCACTAAGGGTCTCTCAGAGGAGCAGGTGGAGCGAGCAGGCTTCATTGCAAGCCCCCCATGCCGCTTCACTGGTTTCTTGCCCATCTCCTAGGGAGAGCCGTTGAAACCTCCTCAGTGGAAGATGAAGGGTCTTCGATAGGAATTACCAGAAGAACTTTTGAAAGTGTTGTCCAGCTCTCAAAGAGTAGATTTTAGGACAAGTGCAGCTGGTTAGCCCTCTTTTGTTGCCCTGCATAAGGAAGCCTCAGCACAGGATCGGGCTCCAAAGGGCCACCAGTTGTGTGACCTTAAGTGGCTCTCCTCACCCAGCAAACCTCCCTGCCCTGCTCTTTAAAGGAGGAGGGTCCGGGGCAGCTCTTTTTCCTCTGGAATCCTGTGAATTTCGTGTTCACTGCGGGGGCTTAGCATGACTGCCTTACATTACTGTTCATTGTGTGCGTAGCTGTATCTTCTGTTAGAAAACGCATTCCTTGGGGACAGGGCTCCTAACTCCTCATTTTTGCACCCCCCTTTCTCTAGCATGGTTTCTTGTACGGGGTAGGTGCTAAATAAATGTTATCCCCACTGGAGGCTGGCATCATTACATGCAAATATCAATAATTAGCTTGTAGTGGACCCACAGAGATCGTTCAGATTGCCAGGAAATGTTTACGCTACAAATTTGTCCCTGACAAAGCCCTGGAAGGTTCTATGACCCTGGAAGCTGAAAGTGATCTGTGTCTAAAGTGGTTCTCAAACGTTGCTAGCCATCAGCATGACCTAGGAAGCAAGTTAATAAAGTGCAGCTTCTCGGATTTCTTTTCCAGAGACCCCCGAGTTGTAAGCCAGGAGCAGTATCTTTACTTTGAAAACTTTACACCAGGTGAGTCTGGTGCAGACGGCCAGTGGCCTACACACAGATATTTGTTCAGAAGGCTCTGTGGAGGCTTTCTCTGGTCTGGTATGTAGCTAAAAAAACAAAACACAACAACAAAAAAACCCACACACCTAGCTCGCATCCCACCTCCTGCCTTCACTAGGCTGCATGGGGACCAGTGATCCAGAGAAGTGACACTAAAACGTCTGCTGCCAGCACCTTGCGTCTTTGAGCTTGAACTCACCTCTCACCCAATTGTTTCATGAGCTGGGCTTTCACAAGTGTGCTAACTCGATAGCTACCTCTACCTCCGGGGAGCTCTAATCGAACATCCTGAGAGGTTTGTGGACTTCCTTTCCTTGGCCTCCACTGCCACCCCCTCACTGACAAAAGGCTGTTGTGGGCTGTTTCCCTAAGCGAGGTCTTAGGAGAGCCACCTGGAAGTGGAGCCAAGAAATCTAGAGTCTAGCCCCAGGACCACTGCATATTAACAGTGGGCCCCTGGGCAAACCATTCTGCCTTCTCTGCCATGGTTTCTTCATCTGTCCGAGAAGGTACAGCCTCCATCCTTTATCTTTCGATTTTTACAAGTGTAGATGGGTTTTGTTTGTTTTTAATGGAAAGATTTGTTCCAAACCATCCTTCCTTCAAATACTTGAGGAAGCCTGAACTCATGCCTGGATCACTTCCCTCTCGTATGATTCTTGGTGGAGACTCGGCTGTCCCTTGGCAGGCACACATCAGAGGAGAGGGCCTGTCACATGTCGGCCTGCTCCAAGACCATGTGAGTATTCAGACTCCTTGTGAAGCAAGCCAGATCTTTCTAGAAGCTGTTGTCAAAGGTCTGAGACTATAGGTGGATGGCAGGAAGGAGTCGGGACCACGCTGCTCACCATGGGACGAGGCCACCGATCGGGTCCCGGGAGTCACCGCGCAGCAGGCGGCTCCTGGAAATAAAACACAGAGCAGGAGCTCTCCCAGGAGCTGCAGGAGAAACGGGGGCAGCCTGGAAACTGCAGAAAAGAGGCCAACGTGTTCTCAACAGAACGAGACGTGCTTCTGCTGACACGTGGGACCAGCCCCCAGCCTCTCACGTATCTCGTCTTTAGGTGACACCGTTTGGTTTATTGACCAAAGGCAGGATGTTGGAGAGACCTGTGACTCATTCAGTCCAATGCAAGATAATGGTGAGGAATCATGTTTCCTGCTCAATGGACAGCTCAGCTCATCATCCGCTTGGGACAGAGCCAGGAGCTCATGTCAGCATCTTGCCTTAAAGCAAATTCGTCATTCCGAGGATGAAGGTAGGAATGTACCCTGTTATTCTGCCCATAATCATTTTCCTCGGGCAGGCTTTTTCTAGAAAAATAAGCGGTATCACATCTCTAAGACAATGAGACCTTTCAGTTGCATAACTGTGTAGAATGTCCCCCAAGAACTTCTAATGTTAGGCACACTTTCCGTGGCCTTTGACCTCCCAAATCACTTTCTGGAAGTATCTAAGGATCAAGCCTCATAGAACTAACCCCATCCTGCTTCCTCCCGGAAACGCCAGATAGACTTGTCCCGGAGGAAAGAGTGTTCCAGGAGGCTCCTGTGTGCTCTGGGAGCACTCACCTTCTCTTGCAGACGCTCCAACATGGCAGCAAGGTGGGCCTCCCGGTTCTCCTTATTGGATTCCATCTTCTGGGCCAGCTTCTCCTTCGCCATCTTAATGAAGTTGTGGTTTTCCTCAATGGCCTTTTGGATCACTTCCCGCTCGTGTTCTCGCTTTTCGGCCAGGTGTTTCAAGAGCTCAGCCTCCTGGTACTGCAAGAGCACAAAGGCAGAGAGAGGCCCTGGGGAGTGAGCATGCGGGGGCACCTTTGGATCACCTGGTTTGAGGGTGCCAAGCCCACAGCAAACCTCTCCTTAATCCCTGGTCTCTGGCCCGTTATCAGAAAGGAAGGACATTTCCTCGAAGCCCCCACCCCTTTCACAACCTTCCCACTCATTGATTTTCCTCCGTCTTCTTCTTTTAAATGCCCCAGGATTGTTTGTCCCCCTCATTGCCTCATGTGTTTATGTATTTAAAATTACTAAATGGCTGTATTTGGGGCCAAGCCCTGGTCTAGTGGCTTGGAAAAGACAGTATGGATAAGACATATACAAATAACCCTAACCCAGCGTGGCAGTTGACATGGGCCTTAAGAGGCAGAGAGAAAGCGCTGTAGCAATTCGTAGGTGGGAGAGATTCGTTTAGGCTGGAGGGAAAGCTGACACAGAAATGGCACCTGAGTTGTGGCATGTGGAGTCAATAAGAAACATCACTAAGAAACATCAGAAGCTATGCTTAAAAAAAAACAAAACAAGAATTCACTGCCATTGGGTTGATTCTGACTCATGACACCCCATGTATTACAGAGGGAAGTTCCAACTGAGGGCTTTCTTGGTGCTGGGCAGCTGAGTTCAGAGAGCCTACCTGTGGGCTAGTACTCTGGCACAAACCTTTTGGGACATCCAGAGACCTTGAAAGGGTGCTGTTCAACCCAAATTCCCTGCCATCAAGTTGTTTCCTACTCACTGAGGTGCTACCGGACAGAGGAGAATGGCCCGTTGGGTTTCCAAGACGTTCAGTCTTTAGGCGAGCACGCAGCCTCATCTCTCTCCCATGGGGTAGCTGTTAGGTTTGCACTGCTGTGTGATCCCAGTCCGGCACTTCCCCCAGGACATCAGCAGGGCTCCTCCAGAAGGCATGCCCTCCCCCTCACCCCATTTCAAAAAAAATCAAACAAACCCTGTCCTGAAGTCGATTCTGACCTGCAACAGAACCCTTTCCGTCTGACTAGAGCTGCCTCTGTGGGTTTCTGGGACTGTCACTCTTCATGGGAATAGAAAACAAAAAGACACCAACCATGTCTTTCTCTCTGCCTGCTCCGGGTAAGGACCCCTGGGCCCGTTCCTTCATCGGGTCACCTTTCCCTAAAGCCTTCATGTTTTGTCCATGTCTTATGTCCTGACCGTGCATACAAAGCCCCCTCTTAGAGTTGACATGGTACAATAGCTTACTCACTAACCGAACTGTAAGCTCGCTCCTTCCCACGGTCAGGACCTTGACCCCTTCGTTGTCCTCAGCGATGCCCTACACAGGGAAGGTGCAGCCTACAGCTAGGTTGGTGGTAACAGAACCCTAGCTGAGGGTCACTGCCTCTTTCCAGCCCCCTCCTGCTGGGATGGAGGAAGGAACGGAGCACGCCTACCTTCCTGCGCTCCTCAGCTGCCTCCAGCTTCTTCTGGATCTCCTCCAGGGATGGGTCTCGCCGCCGAGGCAGGGTGGCATTGAACTCCGGCACCCCGTCAAAGGAAGGAGGCTTCAGGATGACTTCGAAGGACTGGCCCGACGTGCATTTGTTCAGCTCAATGACCTCCATGTCAGAGATGACGCACCAGTTCAGGTCCACGGTATCTGCTGCAGCAGTAGGAATGGAGGTGCTCAGCCCCAGAACGACAAAGGGGTACCCATAAAGCATGCACATCTTCCACCGGGGAGAGCGGGAGGCCCCAAGGAAAGCCTAACAACAAGGGCCCTGGGTCCACCCTGAGCACTGGTACCGCAGGTGCATGGGCCCGATGGTTGGCCGGCTGTGAGCCGGGGCCAAAGGAGTTTGTCACCATGCAAGGTTTCAGGCTGCACTAGGAGGGGTCGCAGGATGTGTCCTGTCTGACGACCCCTCGCAGCCATACTGGCTGCCTTTGCAGAGCTGAGCTCTCCCTCAACATTGGGATCTATTGGGATCCACCAGGGTGGCCTTCATCCACCACCCACCACCCATCCACTGGGTGTGCAACTTCCAGTCTGACGGCTCCGCCTGTTGCCCTCGCTCCCCTGAGGCCTCCTACCCTGCTCTCTTCTTTCTCTCCAGTCAGCACTGGCTTCCCGCTGGCTTGCGTCTTTCCTCCTACACTGTCTCCCACACCAGCCTAAA